AAAAGGCTTCGAATCAAGCCAACCACACACACGACGAAGCCTCTCCGCCTCGCCTCAGCAGCGATGCGCACATGGGCGAAGGTCCCGGAGGCCGCACCCGCACCGCCCGCACGCACGGATGGCACGCACGCCGCCCACACGTGTGTGTGACTCCTGGACAACATAAATATAAAGATATATATTGAACATGATTGTAAACCTGAGACTGGCGCAGAAAAGAGGACACACCAGAAGGTAGAAAAAGACGAGGCAACGTCCCAATTGGTACTATTTTTTTCATGATGCATTATATTTGCTATTAGTCTTAGAAAACTAAACCATTGATGAATTGTCTAAAAATTTGTAAGGTCACGTGACATCTTAACCTTAAAACAACAATGAAATAAAACCTCTTTATTTTTATATCCTATATTTACTTATAAGAAAGTATAATATGTACATAAAAACAAATTATCTCCTTATATTATAAGTCACGTGACCTTTTGCGTGGATGGAGCCTTATCTCCTCCCGACTTGGCTACGTCCCCGCGCGTGGGTGTAGCCTCGGCCCATTCTATTTCACGCTTTAAATGTCGTTTCCAATATTTTGACGTCGCGGTCTCCTGATTGGTCGACGCTGTGTCACAAATTTAGTTTACGCTCTAAGTGCGGGGGGAATATTCGGCGCTGGCGGCGGCCTTTGCTCCGGCTCTGCCTCGACGGCGCCGTGTCGCGCCGTCTGCGGTGCGAGCAGAAAACAAGAGCGTAAACCTGGCGTAAACATGTCAAAATACCCAAAGAAAAAAAATTTAGCTTGAGCTTTCAGCTGAGGTTGGGAATTTTGATTGTCTATCAAGTTATTTTTCCTTTTGCCAGTTATTTACGTCCGTGTTTCAGCACTGTCGCATATTTGTATCGTTGTATTATTTTCAAGTTTTTTTTTTCCTGGCGGTTTTACTTCAGATATTATTTACATACGGATTTTGGAGACTGACCTCGCACCTGTGAATTTTGTCGCCAATGATTCGGGAGCCCCGATTTGGTTCTAATATATTTCTGAGCCATTATAATTTCAACTCAATCTAAATCATTTACAAAAACATGATGCTTGTATGTCAATGTGGTCTTATTAGCGCGTGTGGATTTTAGTTTTATATTAACACTCGTAAAATATTAATATATAGCTAATTGTTGCATTTTTATTTGCCTGGCACACAAAAGTCTGTAAACCCAATTTTTTCTTTAGCGATCTGGCGTCTTCCAGCATGTTCACTAATTTATTGTTATTTATTAAAAATATTCTCCAAACTCTCAAGCTCTATTGTACGGAGCTAATGTTTTCCTGGGATTTTATACGTGCTACAGATTGCAATCAAATATATGTCAAAAGGTGCGCTTGTACCTCTAGCCGCTACATGTCCAGATGAATACCCCAAATTAAATAATTAAATAAGCATCACAACTTGTCGATTTCTGTCCCCAGAGCAGCTGTTCACCGTTCTACCACAATACACATAAATTTGTAAGAAGAAGTTGCAGTAACTCGACGTAACAAGACTTTTTCTTGGACACTTCTGCATCGCGCCATGCTGTCGATGAATGCGGAGGGCAAGTTCGTCTGCTTCTTGCGCAGGGGGTGACATCGGAACGCCCCGATCTGAGCGTCGTCTGCTCCTTTGCAGCGTCGTCTGCTCGCAACGTCGTCTGCTTCTGTCTTACCTTTCCTGCGACTTTCGGAAGTGCAGAGGCCAGGTTCACGAAACGATCTTACGCCAAACATGTGCGTAAGACAAAACTTCAGAACATATTCGTATTCACGAAACGAAATTTTTGAAAGTTTTGCGCAGGTTACGACGAAATCCTACGACAGCTCTGAAGCTGTCGTAGGACGTCCGTGGGTCGTCGCGGTCGCGACGACCCACGGACGTTTATTTTTATTACGTGTGCTTCTCACGCGTCCCGACTTCAAGCAGCTAGAAAAAAAGTAAAAGTACTTGAAACAGACCACGACGAACAAGAACGCTGGATCCACAAACACCCGGGAAAAGCTCCAACGGCCACGATTCTACCGAACGCGACCAAGTGAGCACGGCAGTTAGGCCTAGCACTCCGCGACTCGGTGACCGTCTGCCCACGACCGGCTGGTGTGCTGAATGGAATATGCCCGCGCGACCCTTGTGAACCCTTCCCGTATTATACTTTAATCGCTGACCTCAGTTTTAGATTAAGAGATCAATTTCTTCCTCTTGTTATCTCCTTGTTTCCCGAGGCAACGGTGACTCTCGCCGGTGAAAAAGCGGTGAATCTCCGACAGACGCGGGAAAGGTAAAGCAGCCATCGCTTTGACTAGCAGACGTAAAGCAGACGACGTTAACTGCGCCAACCCGCGAACGCCGTTAAAGAATGAGGGGTCTCGCCGCACGCGAAAGGAGGGAAAAAGTGTTTGGGAGGTAACTTGTGGACTAACCACCCTCACTCTCGGTTCTTAGCAAACAAACCTCGGCGCCTCGGGACACCTCGCCAGTGGGCGCGTTCAGTAGCGGCCCCGGAGTCAAGGAGTCACTGACTCCTTCCACTGGACGGCCAAAAGTCACTTCCGGTGCACGTAACTCCGGGGCTTCGGAGTCAAGCTCCGAAGCACCGAGTCCGGAGACGGTGCACGTAGAGTCAAAGGAGCTAAAATGACGTCATTTCCTGACTGGTGACGATTTCCGGCGCTAAAAGAGTAAAAAACAAACAATATGGCGGGATAAGCTGCTTCGGTTCTGTAGCGGGTGCGCGGTTTGCTCGCTTTTGTTAATGAAAAGTGCTCAAGGTAAGTCGAATAACGCGTTCGAATACCTTTTTGAGGTAAGGCTCTTTCGGAAAATGCATTGGACCGTATTTGGTTTGGTTTAAATATGCTAATAAACAACGCAAACGTTCATTTGACGCGCCGTCTCTTGATCGCCGTTGCACGGAAACTCGGTAATATTGACGATAGTCCTGTCCGCGCTCAACAGAGAAAAACAGGGTATGAACGCGACTTTGGAAGCCGGTTGGACACTCACGCAGAGCATGATACCGATTAATGTTTTGTTTGCGTAGCTAAATCGGGGTGCACGTTGGCTGAGGCTCGCTTCGGCCGACAAAACCTTGATCGCCGAGCGCGGCCGAACTTCCCGTCTGTATACAAATACATTTTATAGGAAGTTCGTTACGAAGGGCAGAACAAACTTATGGCCGTATAAAGGTATCGCAACCGGCGGGGTAGATTCGCTGAGCTCGGTATTCCGCGTGTACTGACGACGATTTTTGTCGGCTTTTATAACAGTAGCTGCATTTGCACCGCCAAGCGAAGGGCTCGATCGCGTTGCATCGCTTCGAACAGCAGCGCTGATGTGTACAATCACCCGCTTTTTCTTCAACGACCTTGTAAAGACTTCTTCAATACCGGCGTCAAATAAAAGCGATCCTGCTCGCCATCGTCTGCTTCCAGTTTATTCGGAGACCGTCTGGCACAGGGGAGGAAGCGGAAGTTGCGTAGAAGCAGGTTTGGAGCCGCGGGTTTTTTTGCCGTTCAGTAGGCGCTCCGATGACTCCGACTCGAGCCACTCCGTTCGGAGGCAAGGGAGGCGCTACTGAACGCGCCCAGTGAGTCCTTTGATTTCCCCCCTTGATGCGCGTCTGCTAGTTGTTAGACAAAAACAACGTACCGCTCGAGTTATTTCGTCTGCCCTCTCTGAAAGGCCAAGTCGAGCTCGCTCTGCAGTTCGCAGGAAAGGTAAGACAGACGCAGACGATGTTGCGAGCAGACGACGTTGCAAAGGAGCAGACGACGCTGAGATGGGGGGTCGCGCTGACGCAACACCTCCGCTGACGCCACCGCTACTTCCTTTCTCATGCGCAGAAGACGAAAATGAGCCCACTTGCGAGGCGTATTAAACCACTGGATATAATGTATTCTAACAGAGCCGTATATGTAGAGAGTTTGGTCAATGGGAGGCGCGGGAAGAGCCAGGGCGTGGGGCAGACTCGGAAAGAGGGCTTGGCATGCTCTCTTGACCAACCAGAAGCCGAAAAGAATCCCCTAGCGGTGGTAACGAGAAACAGTTCTGAGCCGATCGATCATCGAAGGTCTATGTTCGTATATGGTTTAAATAAGTGCGTAAGAGTGAAGTGTAGTAACTCTTTGTGGTTGAAAAGAGGGTTTACGTGTTGTTCATCATGATCATGCAGAAAGATGTAAGAAACGAACGCGCCGCTCAACTCTGTTTTGCGCGGACAGAGTGTGACCGCTCTGACGGCAGATTCCCGGCGCTCGGCGTTTGGCGTAAGGATTATGTCGATCTTTCCACTAGTCGCACTCTTCCACCATCATTTTAGAGGAGTGTGATTGAAACATCACGTGTACCATATTTTCAGCCATCGAGAGTTACTCCAATGCAGTTATCAGGTTTGTTTCTCGCGACCACCGCCAGGGTATTATTTCCGGCTTCTGGTTGGTCACATTCAAATTTCTGAAGACGCCCTGGAACACGCCCAGCCCGCTTTCGGCCAATGGCGCCGCTTCATTTGTCTCCTATACTTCCCAACGAATGGCCAAACTCTCTACATATACGGCTCTGTATTCTAAATTTATCCAGTGCGACTTCTCCTCCTTCCTCTCCCTCTTTTTTCTCTCTCGCCCTCGCGCGTCGACGGTGGCGCCGCATGGATTGCTCCCAGCTAGCAGACGCTCTCGCTTGGATACAATGCGGCGGAAGGTTGTTTCCGTTAGTTTCCGTGTTTTGCGATTGCATTTCTGCCGCGAATTGGACAGTTTAACGCACAGTTGACTGCAGAGACTTCCGAAATATCAGCAGAACGACTTGACGGCCTGGAAATCGCGAACTAGGGCGAAAATGGGCACGCGATGCGTGCACGGTCTACGTCACTATGCTACCGAAGTGAGGCTGGTTCGCTCCTGCGCGAGCAAAGCCGCCTACTAGCGCAGCAGCGAACTCTTGTATGTTGCACAGTGACTTTGGTACGATTGAAGGCAGTGTTTTTGTGTTACCGCACGCGTGCCCCAGACGCAAAGAAGGGAGATCACACGCTCGTTCTTTCGTCGCTTCGTAAGGGAGGCAAGACGTGACAGGTAAGCACGAAGCGACTGCTGTTTTTTTTTTCTTTCACAACTGACGCACTCTCCTCACAGCGACTGTACTTCGCCTCACCTTAACATAAACCAACCGAAGAGGCTACAGACGTGAGCGGGCAACTTTGACTCGGGCTCCCGCTGCACGAGCGTTCACGCAGCCGACGCGCGATCGAACGTAAGGAGCCTCCACTTGTAAAGTTTGCGCTTAGTTCATGGCGGAGATTTCTGTGGTTTAGATAATAAAAAAAAAAAAAAAAAATGTTTCCGTTTTTAACGATACCCATTCTTGGCGTGCGCAACGTGTCTTAATAGTTGCGCAAAAACGATCTACCAACATTTGATCCCTATTGCTGCAAATGCGCGGCTGGGAGCCTTCACCCTCTCCTCGGCATAACGAAATCGCAGTATTCTGCGTAAAAGAATCTTAGCAGAACGAGCGAAAAACCAAACTATCCGCTAACACCTACAACTTTTCAAAGCTTTATGGTTTTGAAAGTTTCTTGTGATGCCTTGTGTGTACTTTGTTTTTACCAGACATTGTCAGTTTGCTCGGCTCATTACAAAGACTTTGTAAGCTTACTTGGCTTATTGGAGGCAGGGCATTATCTCTTCACAGCAGTGAACCCTTTATGAACTGTCGTTTCCCCAACTAAAATAATCTCGTTTTATTCATCAAGCGATGACATGGAACAATCTTGGCTCTTGAAAGCATTTCTTTATTATTGGAAATAACCGCCACTCAGGCCTTCAAGTTCTGCTGCCAGTGACTGTAAAAAAAAAAACTAAAGAAAAAAAGACTAAAACTAATATCAAGTCACAGGTAATGCATATTTTTATTTTACAACACACCAATTCACAAGGACTGGCACAAGGCTACTTTTCACTGAGTTGCTTCGCTGTGCTCAGACCGCTTGTGAGGGCCGGAGTCACAATTCAAAGAGGATTATACTAATCCTGTTACAATCTAATTCGTGCCATCTCCAGTGATCTCACTGTAGCACAGCGAAGAGCAACTGTGTGAAGCAGCCTGTCTATGTCACCTCCAGGCCAGCACTAGCTTTTGATAACAAAGAGATTGCACAGCGAAATGATAGCAGACGGCGACAGGTGTGTGCTAAAGACGGAGCTTCTGCTTCTACTGCACTCACTGACGAGGTACATGAAAACATCAAGGCACGTACACTAGAAGCTGAATCTCAGCCATGGCACAGTGAATGACTAGCTTGCACAAAAGTCAATGGCGATACATAAAAATATTAAGGCACGGATACTAGACGGTAAATCCAAGCTATGATAAAGTGAATGACTAGCTTCCACAAAAGGCAACAGTGAGATACATAAAACTATTAAGGCACAGACTCTAAAAGTTTAATTTCAACTATCAGAAGGTAAACGACTAGCTTGCACGAAAGTCAACGGACATATACAAAACATTCCAAGAATAAAGGCTGAATCTCGATTACAAAGTGAGTAAATATCTAGCACTAAAGTCAACACACACTAAAACCTTCCGGCGAGCTGTGTCGTGCTTGTCAGATGGAATGCTGAAGAACTTGAAGTATTTCTTGCCGTCGATGTTACAGTTGCTGCACCCGAAAGCGCAGCACCCCGTCATAGCTCACGAATTAACGCCAAGCGAAAACCAGAACTATGTGAAGCTTGCGTGCGAAGTGCAGACAGACGTGCCATATGCTGCTGCATACGCACTGGCGGTTTGACCGCATTTGCGAATGCTCTTGCTTAAATACTTATTACAAATCCACCCGCATTTGATGGCGACAACGAGCGGAACCGTATAGCTGTTGCGATTCAACTTATTCAAACGCCAGTCTGAATGCAGCAGCTACCCAGGCAGTTAGTAGCCGACGTTGCCTGGCGCGCCGAGTCAGCCGAGTGACCGGAGCGAAAATGGCGCCGAGGGGCCTCGAAAAGCAAAAACAACCAAAACAAAAGCGGCGCGCAGCGAGCTCTGCCTGGTGGACCACATTCGTCCAATGAGAGGAGCGGGCGGCATTCTTCAAGAGATGTCGCTACCTTTCATTGAATTAGAGTTTACACCTTTCCAAAAAACGCTCCTAGGCCGCCGCCATGTTGCTGATGCTGATGCGGCTGGTGCGACTCTCGCGCCCCCTATGAGCTAGATATTTTCTGCCACTCTCTGGGACTGTGAAGGCCCGCTCAGCGCGGTTCTCTACGTACGTTTTTGCGGGTTTGCATTCGGCGTTTTCTCGCCTCTCTTGAAAGTTTCCATTTATTTTTTTATGCGTGCTGCGTACCCTTTTTGTGTTGTCTTCCATTGTGAGAAATAAGGCTGGTAAGTGCCTGCCATTCAGGCTTTTCTGCTCGACATTCACGGGAAAGTTGAAGGACGTTGAACGGCCCTCGACGCGATTTTGCGAACATTGTTCTCCCCCCTCCCAGAGATAATCCGTGTAGAATCCTCAGTTATCTCCAGAAATAGTTGTCCGGGTTGGGGTGAGAAATGGGTCAGTCGCGTTTGTTTCTTTGCCTTGGTGCGGTTGTGAAAAGAGGAAGCTCTCCCCGAAACGTGCCCCGAAACGAAGTCATCTCGGATTCCGTGCGATCGTCAAGATGTGACTGTCGTCGACTGTGACTGTGTTATTTGAGATCGTTCTCAAATAAATTCTTTTCGGATAACGCTGCATCGTGTGGTACGTACGATATATTGTTCGAATGTGAACACTTCCTCAATTGTATGTCTGTGTCCTGTCCATCGGTAAACACGTTATTTGTGAGTGTGAAAAATGCATGCCTTTCGGCCCTCTTCTGTTGCAATTTATTTTTGACAGCAAAACGCTTTGTCGTTTCACATGTGGCGAATCCCGCTGCGCCGTCAAAACTTATCGTAAGAAAAAAAAAAATAACTAGAACTATACATTCCAGTCGCATTCGTTCTGTCGCGCGCATACCCAACAAAAATAGTTAACAAATTTTTTTTTTTGTTGCTTTTTTTGTTTTTTGAAATGTTCTACAATGCTTTCTAAATGTCCTCGGGAAAATACATGTACCATGAGACACAAAATATAGCGGGAAAAGGCGATAATTTAGCCGCCAGCAGCGTTTGAAAATGCGCCTACGCAGGCTGCGCCTCTTGAATTCACAGTCCACTCGGTTAGGGTTAGGAGGGACGTCGGTGAGAGTCTAGCCTCAAACTCAGTGACTGGGCTCGAAAACGGTTGGTTGCCCCTGGGGTCGAGAGACGCCGCCTCCTTCTCTTTTTCCCGATAACGCCCTCTCCGCACGAATGGGGCGGCCGGATAAGCGTTCGCCCGCTTCGTGATCTCGGAGGCCATGGTCAAATGTTTGTCTTTTTTTTAGACTTCGGCTAGGTGGCGCAAGCTACCGCCCCTTTACGAAGAGTATAGCCAGCGCAAAATCTACCTATCCATTCATATCGAGCCATAAAAATATGGTGGTCTTTGTTGGTGATTTGTGTTTGCAGCCATGGTGATTCTTCCTGACCCTACAAGAGTGCAGAGATGTCTATTAATCGCTTCTTTTTTAATTGTTCAAATTGAAGGTAGGTTCTGACTATTCCTTCATGTTCCTTGCTCTAAAACCCGGCGTATTGTGCCGATAGTTTCGTGCTCTTTTCGACAAAATGGCGACAAGGTACACAACAAAAACCCCTAGTCGTGATGTCACTAATTCGGGCGGTTTCTCGCTTCGTTAATTTCTGTCAGCCCGCGGATTTGACTTCCTTCGGAGTGTGCAGTTAGGACTGCGTCGTTTGGTCACAATTATTATTGCCCTTGTTCTAAGGCCATCTCTTTACTGCAAAAATGAGCTCATGTTTGACAATAAACAAATATTTTTATAATGCAATTAAATGCAAAGGTGCAAGCGAGCTGGACAAGAATGACGAAAATAATAAAACAAGAGGGACAAAGGACAAACACAGCTAGGTGACTGCTGCGCGACCGAAAAAATCCACCTGGTCCGGTATCGAACCCGGGACCTCTCCATTACAGGTAGAGCGCTCATCCAACTGAGCTAACCAGGGGTTGGACGTCAGTAGAGCTAACAGGTTTTATCAGCTGCCACCAGTCTAACACCAACAAGGCTGAAGTTTACAGGCCCCCAAACACAGCCCCAGAGTTCTTTCGTATTATGTATGATTATATGCGTAAGAATCGTAACATAAGCAGTAAGGTCATAATAGCAGGTGACTTTAATTTACCTCTAGTTGATTGGTCCTTTTCCAAACCCCAGAAAATATCTCATGGTGTTGACATTCTTTCAGAACTATGTTTTCATTATAACCTAACTCGAATTGTTACCGAAAACACTCGTATTCAAGGCTGTACACAAACAGTGCTTGATTTGGTTTTTGGTAGTGATCATTTTCTGAGCCACGAGTACAGTATCGACGTCTTAGATGGTATATCTGACCACGAAATGGTTTTGTGCTCTTTTAAAACAAACTCTGTAGTTTCTGCTTCGCTGCAGGTTTCCACATTACTGGACTATAGCAAAACAGACGACCTTGGCATACTCAATTACTTTGATGTGCATTTTGATAACTTCCAATTGCTTTTCTCAAATGCTCTTACCACCTTTGGAACGAATTTAAAGTAGCCGTTTAGTTCTGCACTTCAAACTTTATCCCAACTAAGACGAAAAGAATTGACAGGCAAAACCCTTGGATAACGCGAGAAATTATTCACATGAAACGTAAAATAAATAGGCTGCGCAAATGTGCAAAGAAAAGCAAAACAGCTCTTAATAAAGATAAGTTGGCACAGCTGAATACTGAACTTGGCCTCAAAGTTAGATCAGCTAAGCATTCATTTTTCAATGTGACACTTCAGTCGTTTATTAAATCGTCACCTCGCGAATTCTGCAGTCACATTAACCCTAAAACAAAGTCACACCTAGAATCATTCTCAAATGATAAAACCAATCTAGTAAAGGCGTTTGACGAGTATTTTCTTTCTGTATTTACTACGGATAATGGAACTATATATTTTCTTTTG